GTTTTAATAGCCGGCTAGCAACTGTGTAAGTGTACAAGTATGAGAATATGAAACAAACCGCCGTACATAGCTCTTCGGGTCCTTCCAAAGAGTCCACTGAAGTCTCAGGAAATAACGAGCATTTTACGAGCCCTTATTTCATTCCAGTTGATTACAATCTCATATAAATTAAATTCATGACATTTCGCTCCAAGATTTGATATTACTATAATAGTTTAGTAAATTCATTTCCTATATTTCAATATCTGTCCTAGATATAAGATGATAATGTAGTTGTAGGGCTGTTTCCAGTTGAGTTAGTAGTTACCAATTTTTGCAGGGATTGTGTACGAGCTCACAGCCCACCTAGTATTAAGTGGTTACTGGAGCCCATTGGCATCTACAACGTAAATGTGCCACCCACCTTGAGATATAAGTTCTAAGGTCTCAGTATAGTTGCAACTGCTGCCCCACCCTTCAAACGGAAACGCATTACTACTGTACAGCAGAAATAGGCAGGGTGGTGGTACCCGTGCGGACTCATAAGAGGTCCTACCACCAGTAAAAATTAATTTTATTGTAATTTTTTTTTACTGCGAATAGTACTAAGGAGACTGGACGCACGCTTTTTTTTATTGCCCTTGTAGGCAGACGAGCATACAGCCCACCTGATGGTGAGTGATTACCGTCGCGCATGGACTTCAGCAATGCCAGGGGCAGCCAAGCCGCTGTCTACGCATTTTAGAGGGTGATCACAAATGTTTCATGTTAGTTGATGATAGCAGTAAAATTACTGACAAAACTTTGGGAATTAGATTTTATAAATGGTATCTGTTCTGTCGCTATGGTTTAGTGTTCTCTAGACGGCTCTAAGCTACCGTTGTACTATAGCAGCGGGGTTCGATTAATGGTTGGAGTAGATCTCTCTCTCCAAGATATTCGATTATCTGGTCTTGATATATCTTCTCTGGCTTCGTATGTATTTTTCCAGTATGGGTATAAGGCAAAATTTAATTCACTGATACAGAGAAGTCAGAAACAAAATATATAGTTTTTGGAATTTCTTTTAAACTACGGTAGGTTTGTCAAAGAAGCTACGTATGTCGAATTTCAATTTCATACACTATACTCTCGAGTTTTGTAGTGAAACTTTCTTTGCCATTGCTGTGAATAGAAACTTGATGAAATGAAAAAGTGACACTAAAAAGAGACAGACATCTGTAACATTTGGATTTAGCCTGGAAGATAATGAGATAGAATACTTCTATAGGTTAAGCCTTTACCGCGTACCAACTGTACATGTTTATTTTTCATAGCTAGCACCTGATCACACGGTCTACCGAGAAAGCATCCAAGTAAGTACATAAATAATAGTTAGACCTTCAAATATTAGAAAAACGTTTCTATTATATTACAATAGCAGAAATTTTCTGGACGGTGGTGCCTTAACAAACAAACTCAACATCGAATGCAATCGGTACAGTTGCTAACAAAACTGTTTAATTGTTATTTTTTTCTCACAATTTTCTCAATAGTCTTTGAGTTTTCACAAAAAATGTTTCAATGGTCACCGTTATTAATTAAATAGGTTATTGTTTTGTTCTTTACGTGTTCTATATGAAATCCATTGTCCATTGTCTTTTTCTAGTTAATTAATAGAACAAAAAGGGTTCGGATTGTAAGTCTCGTAATCAAGTGCCAAAGTATTATACGATAATATTTATTGTGGATTTTTACGAGTGTGTTAGTGTTCTATGTGTTCACACGACTCACTCGATCTAATTTGAAACCTGTTCAGTTATTGTTAGGGAAGGTTTACGATATAGTATCATCAATCAATATTATTTTATTATATAAATGTACAAGTAAATTTTTATTCTAAGCTCTCGCTCGTTAATGTAACTAACTGTATGAAAAAATCTATTTCTTGAAACTATTTGAGCGCTACCTATCGTATGATCATAGTACTATGACAAGCCATTCTAATGCCAATAACGACGGTACTTGGTTTTTTCAAATAGATTGAAAGATTTGCGAACACATACAGGACAAACATATGTACACACAAACTATGATTTTTATTTATATTACAGCAGTCAAACTTGCGGACCGCTTTATTGGCCGATCTTAGATTTCATTTTTATCTGATCGCAAACTTCTCATCATCCACTGGCTAGGGCAATCTGAAGATTTCCTGATATTTTATCGAAATCACTCCAGGTGTTTCGAAGTTTAAAATAATAGATACGATTTACTACTTTCTTCGGTTTTTGTGAGTCGAAAACGTAATTAAAATTTCTTCTACGGTTTAACTTCGCGTTTATTAATTTAATTTTACTTTTTTTCGATCTTTCGAATTTACAATTTTACTTACGGTCGACTTATCGGTAAAAGTAGTTTTAATTAAATACACAATTGTTATCACAACAGTAAGCCGCATTTAATCATTCAGCAATTTTGAGTCAAACATCAGTGCGCAGTTCGCCGAAGAACAAATAGGTATAACGAAACAAAATATCAAAGTTCACGAAATCGACATTGATATAACAGTATTAGTATTAGCTACGATTTATTTGCTTTTTTTTCCTACCTAAGCTGATAGCCTTGACAGGCTATTTCAGCGTAACCAAAAACTAGTAGGAGAGCTCACGGGGCTAAGACCTGACGATGTTGCTAACACGAACCCTAGCAAGAGTACTGACAAAATCCGGCGAGAAACTCAGTGGGCTGTGTCTGTGGGTTAATTTACTTGTCGAACCCTCCGTCGCAAGCGACGGGTTCGACGAGAACGATGACCGGTGCTTGAGGTACCTAAAAGCACCGTTAGTGGATCGAGAGCATCCGAAATGACGTGTTTGGGGCGACGTCGACTGCTTTCCATTCTGTCCGCAGGATAGGGAATGTTTTTTTCCAATTTACTTTATTAGTAGCTATTGGACAGCAACAGCGGTAACATTTCTGCGACTCGAGTAAAGACGATGCTGGTTATCTCATTCGTTAATAAAAAAGCCAGACGCATTAATCGCGCGGTTCTTCCACCTACTCAAGTTACAGTAGACAAAGACAAAATGCCAGTAATTGGGAGCATGTGGGTGTGTAGGTATAAAGAGTAAATTCATTATGACAATAATCATACAAGACGTATTCAACAAGCACTTATGGAAGATTTCCCTTTTGCTTTAGGTAAGAAGAAAAACAGCGCTATAACTAATATGTGTAAGTATATTATACCTACCTAAGTTATTATATCTATTATATTATACATGCCCGTATGGCTCAAAATACGCTCTACCAGCAAATGTAGATTAGCGTTCATTTTCCAGTGAATACTACACTAGTCGTATTACCCATGAGGAGAGATGATGGAGTATTATAGACTGACACTATACGGCAAAAATTGTTGAAGTACTACAGACACAGATATAAAAATATACTATCCCTCTCTAGAAGGTGATTAATTGTTAATTTCAGAAACCTCGACCTTGGCCAAACAAGTTAAAGAGGACATCGTCTTATGTATCTCACATTCAGTGACAAACACGGTAAAAAGAAGCGAAATTTAGTGCAATTTACCTTATATAACAGGAATTTTACAATAACAGAGATAACTTATATATTTACATGATTTTCTAAAATGATTCATACAATATTCATGCAATTCAATTCAGTCAATTTATTGATTAGGATTTAATACGGTGGTAGGACGTTTTGACAACTCGCACGGCTAAGTAGCAAGCACCACCCTCATTATTTCTGTTGCGAAGCCGTAATGCGTTCCGGTTTAAATGGTGGGGCAGCCGTTGTGTTATCGAATTGAGACTTAGAACTCAACGTTGTCTATATCTATGAGCTTCGGTAAGTACTAAACACCAGGTGGGCCCGTGACCTCATTCACTCAAAAGATCAAGAATAAGATTAGAAGGCAGCACAATATTCAAATCTCAAAAGAAAAAAGTATTACACACGTTAGAAAAAATTATATGATTAAACCGAGCGTAATAATTACTTTAAGTATATTTATGACGGAAGTCAAAAAAATGCCATTGTTTGAAATGTTATCTTTATTATTATAATTTCGTAATTTAGTAAACTCATTGTTTTTAAATCTAAACAATAAAAATCACAATTATTGCGCTGTATGAATGTCTAACACGCATTTTAAATTCTCATATTGTGTTTTATGAAATAACTCAGAGCATTTTTATGCCGTTAATTCATACGATCGATCTCGACGCTAATATTTTAATATATTAGAATGTACGTATCAATTCTAGGAATACCCGCGGATTCAACGATGTTGAAATTCGAAAATATTTTAATACGAAGAATATCTACCTAGATATAATAATTGCATAGCGTAACAATATAGAGCATTTCTACAATTAATATAATCAATCACCAATTTTAAATTAAAACCGTCCTTGGTGCACCTTTATTTTGGTATCAAAATATTATGTTTCCTTTTATTCAAATTAATAGAGTCAACGGTTTAGAGCTGTGTAATATATTTCTGAAGTGTGATTATATCGTTAAAAACAAATGTTATGTAAGGTCGCTAAATAAGTTATGATTATGGTAATGGTTTAGCTGTACTGGCCAGTATAAATATTGTGGTGACTAAAAAGGCCACTACACATCTAGGTAGAAAGATTTCAACCTATTTGGAGGAAATCGAAACAGAGAAGGAATTAGAGATGACATTGCCAGAAGAAGAATGAAGAAAATTACATGTTTAAGACTTTTATGAAAACTGATTGAGATTTAAAATAAAAGACACTATATAGATAAGTATGTTTCATTAAAGATACATTGAAAGGTCCTTAAGATTATTTGTTAAAATATACGGAAAAAGAGAACCCTCAGGACGAGCTTGAGTTTTGAATTTACCAGTACTAAAGCCCCAGTCTTAAAATGGTATGCGTAAATAATTTCCTGACAATAGTTTCATGTATATGAATAGTTTCTTAGTTCTATCTCCTAGCTGCTTTCCATAAAATTTAAGTTGAATGAATATAACAAACCTCACAGTTTCACACGAAAGTCGACGTTGTTCGAATGGGCCGCCACAAACGATTGTTCACCCAGACAACTCGTTTTAACTTTCTACCGTAGTATCAGTTGCACAGGCACAATGCTCGTCGTTCGAGCATTCGTTTCACACCGAAATTTTATGTGGCCGTAGAATCTTATAGAAGGTTTGAGCGTGCGGCGCGGCTCAATACGCGTTGACGACTGCGCGGGCGACCGTACAGAGAAACTAAAGAGAAAAGTAACCGACTCCGAACGAGCCTGTTACATCAGTGTTCTTGTCGCTGATATTGTTTATAGCGGAATAGTTTTTGCTAAGTATTAAATGAGAGGCATTAAGTTAAAGCAGACGGCGTCACTTCCGCTTTCCGCGCTTGTTCCTAGCCGTAACCGCGGACGTAAACTTAGACATAACTGGCTCTCGTAACTATTACGTTAACGTTTTTTTAATTGTAATTACATTCACTAATATCGACAAGTCTGCATTCCACAAAAGCACTGTTATACATTTATGTAGAATATTTACCAAAAAAGAAAGAAATCATTTTAAATTTAGATAATAAGTTTTTAACGAAATTATTAGCTACTCAATTTTGAAATCTAGGTTCCAGAGTTCATTCTTAAAGAAGCAACTTCTGTCCCCATATGGAATTACCGAAGAAAGTGGAGACTTATTTAATTTCATATATTTTTTATTCATTCAATGCCGCAGATAGGCAAAGAATCGAGGCTTTTGAGATATGGTGCTGGCGACGTATGCTACGAATACTATGGATGACCCGCCGCACCAACGGATCGCAGGCAGTTTACTTCTAGCACTCAGGATTCTCCATCCTGTCCTGCAGGAACGGCATACAATTTTTCGCAGTACGATCGCCGCCTCTCCGTTACCTCATCTATCTCAATAGCTTGCTCTCCTCGGTCTCTATAGCCCATGTTTTTGCTTTAAACTCTCTCGTGATACTTTTGATTTTCAAAAATATGTCTCGGGCTTGAAACTTCTGCGCATGATTAGGTAGGTTAAGGTAGTCATTATAATCCCTACGGCAGAGCAGTTGAACTCTTGCCGAGGCTTCGCGGTAATCTGTAATAGCAGATTCGACATTGCCTATGAGTAACTACTTAGATTAGTTCGTATTATAAAGCGATAGGAACTCCTTTCGCTATAGAGCGAATTATAGAATACGTATTATAAAATACGAACTCACTAAAATTTGGAAAACTATGATTTATTTTTGAAAATAATTTTTTTATCTTACTTAGTTTACAGTGACAACAATTTATTTTTACGAATTCACTTGAGTGACTTTTTTTTGAGATTTTAATTAATTTTAAACCGCTATGTGGATTTTATTATTTCAGTGAAACCGTAAACATTGACACGACGCCGTAGGGCATAGACCCGGTACAAATATGAAATACGATTTTCAACTTTGGGCTATTTATGCGTGATTTCAGAATATCTTTTTTTTTTTATTACTTAGGTATGTGGACGAGCTCACAGCCCACCTGGTGTTAAGTGGTTACTGGAGCCCATAGACATCTATAACGTAAATGCGCCACATACCTTGAGATATAGTTCTAAGATCTCAGTATTGTCACAACGGCTACCCCACCCTTCAAACCGAAACGCATTACTGCTTTACGGCAGAAATAGGCGGGGCGGTGGTACCTACCCGCGCGGACTCACAAGAGGTCCTACCACCAGTCATTACGCAAATTATAATTTTGCGGGTTTGATTTTTATTACACGATGTTATTCCTTCACCGTGGAAATCAATCGTGAACATTTGTTAAGTACGTATTTCATTAGAAAAATTGGTACCCGCCTGCGGGATTCGAACACCGGTGCATCGCTCGATACGAATGCACCGACGTCTTATCCTTTAGGCCACGACGACTTCAAAATCTATCTTCAATATCTGCCGGCAAGGCACAGCTTGGGCGCATGCCCTTTTAACTTGCAGTGACGGTGTGAGTTCTACGCTTAGTTTATTCGACCCATCTTGAATGCATACCGAGTGCATCGGTCACCGCATCATTTCTATAGTATTTCCGTATGAATTCCTCCTGGTATCTTTTGCCAGAATAATCTGAGAGAGTTCAATAACGCCAAGCTCAATAGCATAAGACCTGACTTAAGACGTGAAATCGACGTAACTATCGTTATACAGTATTAGTTTATAAAAAAACAAAACGTTCTCAAAACTGTCGAGTGTATATTGTCGGGGTGAGTCATCGAGTTTCAGTGGTAGTACCAAAAACGGTGAACAGATTCGTTGGCTCCTAGCATGTTACCCACAACCTTCAGTCTACCCGTGGTCATAGCTCTTGCAACACCCACAAAATGTCAGGAACTCATTAAACGTGAAAACCGTCGAAAGAACCCATTGATTAATAGTATGCATGACTATCGTAAGCTATGTCTGAAAAGAGGTTTTAGCGGCTTGGTTGTACCCATGGCATTGGATTGCCCCTACTAATGCACAAACGACACCAACCATTACTCACTAGTCTGTAATTCATGAACTAATTTCAAGCAAACGTTCCGTCTGTCATGCCCACAATGATTGGCACGTATTGGTTTAGTTAAACAATATTTTTTAATAATAGAAAATTATTTGAACTCTATATATTAAATTTAGATTTAAAATAAGACTAAAGATCTACCGTGCATTAGTTCAAATGAAAGTAAAAGCACTAAAAGACTTTCTCAAAGGTGAGCAATAAATATTATTTAGCTTGGTTGTATGTTGTTGTTACATGTGCTTTGAAATTTGATGAAGTTTCATAAAACCAGTCTTCGTTTCACGATTACACTTATTTTTGTTTTAATTTAACACGGAAAATACTCTTTGACAAAAAAATTTTGACCATCATTATTTCACACTTCTCGATATTACGTCCTTAAGGATTCATCAGATCCAATAACTCCTGTAATAGACGACTTTAGCTTTAACACTAGGGGCAGGCTTAGGGACCCCGGTAACCGTACTCGTAGAATTCGGCAAAGAGTTCGAAGTGCAACCTAGCCCATGCATCAGCCCACTGAATTTCTTGCCGGATCTTCTCACTGGGTCACGTTTCCGATCTGGTAGTAGATGATTCGTGAAGCAGCTTACCTTGAACTGTTAGATAGGTCTGTTTCGGAGGTGCTCGGGCAACTGTTAGCAAATCCCACCCCACCTGCTTAAGCCTTTGCTCGCCCACCTATCCTGGTAAATGCCGGCGGGCCACCAGTAATCCTTCCTTAATAAAAAAAAAAACTTCTCGATATAATTTGCTAAGGTCGTGTACCACATATCGATGTGGTCCAAAGTGTGAAGTTGCAGCTGCATAATTACGCAAGCACTTTCACCGCTCCTCACACAACGACCGTCTAAACACACACGCAAACAACACTGCTCTCTGCACCACTACTATATGTTTATTGAGAATTCGAAAATGAATATCTTTGTGAGTTTCTAGAATTTATAATATTTCTTTATTTTACCATTTATTTTACATGACAGAATAATACACAGAGAATTCTATGTTGTTGTACTTTATAATAATATTGTATGTTTTTTTTTTTTTTTTTTTTTTTTTTTTTTCCTACCTAAGCTGATAGCCCTAGCGGCTATGTCAGCGTAACCCTAACTTTAGTAGGTGAGCTCACGGGGCTCAAACCTGACGATGTTGCTAACACGAACCCTAGCAAGAGTCGTGCTTCGCAGAATCTACCACCGGATCGGAAACGCGACCCACTGAGAAGATCCGGCGAGAAACTCAGTGGGCTGTGTCTATGGGTTAGTTCGCTCGTCGAGCCCTTCGTCGCAAGCGACGGGTTCGACGAGGACGGTGACCGGTGCTTGTGGTGCCTAAAAGCACCGTTAATGGATCAGGAGGATCCGTAATGACGTGCTTTGGGCGACGTCGACGGTTTACCATTCGGTCTACTGGGTCGGGTATGTAATTTCCAGCGGCTACGATGAGAGGGTTCTCATGTCGTGCCGCCTTCTCAAAATGGCGCAGCGATGCCGACTGTAGATACTTACTAAATGAGTCGAGCTCCAGGTCATCGTGGAGATCCACGTTCCTAAGGAACCAAGGCGCTCCGACGGCTATCCTGCAGAATCGTGATTGAATAACCTGAAGGGATTTCAAGTGCGTGCGGGCTGCGTGAGCGAACACTACGCTTGCATACGTCATGACGGGGCGTATACAAGTTTTGTAGAGAAGCTACCCGTGTGGACTCACAACAGGTCCTACCACCAGTAATTACTCAAATTATAATTTTGCAGGTTTGATTTTTATTACACGATGTTATTCCTTCAGCGTGGAAGTTAATCGTGAACATTTGTTGAGTACGTATTTCATTAGAAAAATTGGTACCCGCCTGCGGGATTTGAACACCAGTGCATCGCTCAACACGAATGTGCCGGACGTCTTATCCTTTAGGCGACGACGACTTCAGAAACCAGTCCATACGTGTACACAGTATCATTGAAATATTATTAAAATTACCATTTAAATATCATCAATTATAATAATAAATAAATAATAATAGTAAAAATAATTAAAAATAATTATGAACACCCACATACACAAATAAATTCTGGTCACTATTGTAGCGTAAATTTCGGTTTGGATCCCGAGTACTTAACATGTAGTCCGGTCCTGTGCTACATTATCGAACGATCCAGGTCCATCCTCTAAGTGCAAAACCTAAGGTGCTTTTTTCCCCCTACCTGTTCGCTGGTAGCCGAGAGTATTCCAGCTACAACCGGATGGGTGGGTGAGCTAATGGGCTCAACTTGATATTCTAAGTTGCTATTGGAGCCGCCGCGCACGGACGCCATCAGGGACGCTACTCACTTGCGTGCAATAGCCGAAAAACCGTCTACATATATGAGCGTCCGCAGACAACGCTGACGGATTACACTATGGTGGCAGCCCCATCAGCGTCCTGAAGACAATATTATACTGTATCCGCACTATGTTGTATGACTGTTTTGTATGCTTGATCGTCTGTCTTGACAGTCTTACAAATTAATTTATATGTATCGATAGTTAACTTCACGAGGCATATCATGGAATCTGTTTGCTTGATAGAAAATATACGGGTGAATTTTTACTGTATTTTCCATGGTACTACACTTTCCTTTGTAATTTTAGATCATTTATTTAAAGCTACCTATATATTGATTATATGATTATATAATACATTGGAAACAAATAAACAAATCAAAATATTAAATAAAAAAAACGAACTCATGTAGGGAACCTC